TTTTATCAAAAGTTAGGAGACATCTTGAACTTTAGTTGAATTTTGTTCATGATGTTGAGAATTCTTAACTTACCTAACTTTTTTCATAAATTGAAGATATCACATGATGGATCTTGCTTGGTTTAATTTCTTTTTCTCTAAATATTGTTGTTTGTATTTGTGTTGATTTAAGTTTAGAAATCTTTGTATGTTTAAAGGAATTCTGCTTACCTTGTTCATTATATGTGAAATGTGAGGATTCTTTTTGCTGATGATACAATGACTTTTTAATGAACTGAATTATTAGAGGCATCAATATGGGCTGCCTGACTTAACTTAGTCCAGCCCAAACCCTTGAGAAAATATGAGTTGGGTTAAGCCAGTCATTTTTATATGGGGTATCAAAATTTCAGTCCAATCCACCCCTTGTTAGCCCATGAGTCAAGTTGGGTCAACCTATTTCTGTTTTTGTCAAAAAAAATTATTTTTATAATTCTACCTAACAAATTTTCTATCAGTAAAATTGTTCTATATATGATTTAATTTATAAATTGAATAATAAAAACATGTTACAAACAAATAAATTACATAAAATATAAATAAACAAATAAATTATATAAATAAAGTTTAAATCTTTAACACAAACTACCATCTCATAAATATAAGTATATAACCAAATAATAAAAACTTCAAGACTCATTTATATTCTCCTCAATCCTCATCCTCAAGTAAAACATTTAAATCTTGTTTAGACAGTAATGATGTCTCGAGGTTTAAATGATTATCAATTTATCATATAATATTCATTACCATAAAAGAAAAAGAGATAATAAGTTTTAATATAAACTAAAATTATTAATTTGATAAGTAAAGATTAAAGACATTAAAATATATAAAATAAGTATTACCATTAATAATTAAATTATTAATTTTATATAATTAAATATAAAAAATAATTAATTTATTTTTTTCTTCTAACCCATAGGGTTGACCCGTTTCAACCCACTTCAGCCCAATGATCAAATGGGCTGACCCATTTAAACCCAATTCTAATATGAACCTAAAATTTCAAACCCAACTTATCTCATATTTAATAAAAAATGAGTTCCCCAATGAGTTAGGCCCATTTTGACAAGACTACAAATTATAGTCTTATCTATATTAAGAGAATTCTTCCCTGTTTCGAATTGTTCTCTAGATTAATTAAGACTAGTTTTCATAAAAACTTCTTATATGGAGTTGGAGTGGAGAATCATACTCTTGAAAATTGGGCACAACGAATCTCATTCAAAACTGGTAGCCTTCCTTCCACTTATTTTGTACTGCCTCTTGTAATAAATCTTGGTTTTAAAAGCTGATTGGTGTCTTATGATTGAGAAATTTGAGTCGCACCTTGTTAATTGGAAAGGTAAGCTGTTATCTATTGGCAATCGTATCACTCTTATTAATTCTATTCTGGCTAGTTTTCCTACATATTTTAAGTCTCTTCTTTAAATGCCTTCATGTGTGAAAGAAAAGCTTGACAGGATCATTGGGTGTTTTCTTTGGATTGGTGGATCCTCGAGTTGGAAAATTCATTATGTTGACTTGTCTTTTGTTTGCACATATGAAGATAATGGAGATCTTGCGTTTATTAACCTTTATCTCAAGAATAAATCTCTTCTTAACAAATCGCTATGGTGCTTTGATAATGGGCAGGATAGTTATAGGAGAAAAATCATTGTGGAAATGAATGGTTCGGATTCGAACTGCCTTCGACCAACTTGTGATAATCTTAGAAACTTTTTCAATATTTGGAGGAACATTCTAAGTGCTCTTTCTCTTCTGGTTGTATGTCGAATTTGGTTAGATAAAGTTTTGGGCTGGTAGTTAGTAATGGATCCTATATCAAGTTTTGGCATGATAATTGGGTGGATGAGCTTATTCTCAAATCTATTTTCCTTCGCATTTTTGCTTTTTGCACCAACAAAGATGGTCTTTTGATTGACTTTGGAAATTGAGTTGATGATATATGGAAGTGGGATATTCCTTAGAGCAGATGCCTTTTTGTTTGTAAGAAAGATTAGTGGGGCTTTTTAATTATTTCAAACTCCTTCCTTGATGAGATCTTCCTAGTATAGTTATATGGGAGCAGAATTCCAGTGTTATGTATACTCCTATTTCCTTTTCCCGTTTTGCTATTGGTGATCCTAAAAGTGAATGTAACATTTGGAGAATGGCCTGGTCTAATCTCACTCTATCTAAAATTGAGGTTTTTCGTTAGCAAGTTCTACAAGGCAAAATTGTTGTTAGGGGTGAGCTTTTGAAGAGAGGTCTTATCAGTATTAATTCGGCATTCTCTACTTTATGTAACCAAGAAGTTGAATATGTTGAGCACCTTTTACTTAAATGCCATGAGAGATGGAAAATTTGGTCTTTGTGGGTTGATGCATGAGGAATTAAATAGGTCGCTCCTTGCAATTTGAAATGTCTTGCTCTTGTATGCAATGGTTGCTTTATGAATAATGATCACTATCTTACTTGACGAATGGCTTTATACGTTACTTTGTGGATAGTATGGTAGGACAGGAATGAAATAATCTTTAATGGTAAATTATGGGACACTTCCCAAATATTTGATATTTTTAAACTTCGTGTTAGTTGGTGGGCAAAGGTTAAATGGCCTTTGGAAATCCTGTTGTCTTGGATATTGTTAGAGATCCTTCTTGTGCCGAAAGCTAGATTGATAAAGTTAAGGTTAAAGCTATAGTGAATTGGATTAGGCCTAAAATGGGCTGTATGAAGTTTAATGTAGATGGTGCTTCTAGGGGCTGCCTGGGTGCTTCTGAATCGATAGTGCTTTGAGAGATGGTAATGGCTATGTGAAAATTCTCTTTTCCAAATCAGTTAGTATTTGCCAATTCCAACTTAGCTAAGATTTGGGCCATCAAGGAAGCCTTCACCCTCTTTGTTGCTTCTCCTTGGGTTGACTCTCATGATATGATTATTGAATCTGATTCGACTAATGCAGTGAAGTGGGCTAACAACCCTTTCTCGCTCCTTGGCATATGGTTAGTATTATTAACTTCGTCAACTGTGTCAAGAAGAAAATTAATTGCTGGTCTATTGTTCATGTCCCTCAATCCAAGAATAAATTACCTGATCATCTTGCGAAAACTGGTGGATCTTTTGGACAATCTTTTCAAAGTTTATAGCTAAGTTCCCTCATTTCTGGTGTTCAAGTTAAGCTTATTTGCTGCTCTTTGATCCTGTCGCTGGCTGCCTTGAACTGCATTTTCCTTTTCTTGTGTCTATTTATTTCAGTTATCTTATTTGCTTGGGATTTTTTGTTGTCTTTCTGTTCTTTTGTTGGTTGGTGTTCGTCTCTGCGTGTATCTTTGGATTCCCTTGTGTTTGAGACTTTATCCTTTAATGAAATGGCATTAAAAACAAAAAAAAAAATTTTTGATACACTTTCTCAGAAATATTTTAATTAAGAGGATATAATATTGAACAAATATTGTTAAGGGAATGGACCCTTATTTTGTCCCTGATTGGACAACCGAGTAAATTTGTTTGAAGTCAAAAAGTCCAAACAACTTAGGATGAGATGTGCTCTGTATCTCATGGCAGGCAAATAGTCCAAGAATGGACCATCAATCATTATCATGGTATGAATCTGGCAACTCACTTTATTCACCCTACTTTTTAGAGTCATAAAGTGAAGAAAAAGCTTTCGTTGATGGGTTCCAGTAACTATGCCTTCTGGGGTTTGGCTTTCTTTTTCTCCCAGGGAATGATCATCACCCCAACTCACGCAGGCCTTCACATATATAAGACAAAAGAAAGTGCAAATTCTGGTTCTCCCTGTGTGGTTTCCACGCAAACTCTCCGGATTCATTGCTTGTTAGATGATTTTATCCTAAAAGTATTCTCAAAACTAGTTTATGTTTTAATCCTATATTAGGTTTAAAATGTTCAGCACAATACTTATTAATTTCCAACCTTCCACTACTTGGCGTGGCAATCATAATTATGACTTATGAGGTATGTAGGCTTAGGTTAAACCCAAGCCAACTCCTTCACCTATTATATCTTTTCTCATGAACTGCTGCTGTGATCTTAGAACATCACAACTCTTCAAGAATTTGGTTTTATATATGTTGGGTTCAAGATTCGTAATTATTTATTAAGAAGGAATAAAGTTAAAAGTTTCGATTATACGCTCTTAAGAAACATACGACTGCAATTCCTTGCATGGTTTTCACTTTCACTACTAGCTAGCTAGCACAGTAGCAGAACAGCAGAACAAGATGAGTTGAACTTGAACCACATTTCTATGGTAGATTGAAATGGTAGTGGATTATTGATTAGGATAAAGAGGAAACTCATCACTAATAAAGAAAATATTCAAAATTTAAACTTTAATTCAGGGACTAATATAATTATATGGACAAACTTATCGTTGCCCCTTTTACAATTAATAGCCTGAAACAGAAACTTGCATGGAAAAAGAAAAGACACAGAATAAGGAATATAATCTAGTTGATCTTTCTGCAGTCAATCCTGATCTCTCCATTGCTTCCAGTAAGCGGACTTATGTTCCCCATCTTTATCATAGACTTAGCAAAGCTATCAAAGAATTGACTTTGACTGTTAGCAAACCTGTTAACAATGGCCACAGTGTCAGCCCCACTAGTGGAAAACAACTCTTGATCAGATTGGAGGAGTCCACGGTGATTTTGAAGGTTCAAAAAGTAGTTGTTGTCGAAGCTAAGAGAAGTTGACTCATCAAGATCGATCAAGCTCCCGCCATTACCACCCTTAGGACATAATTGTGTAAGTGATTTCACGTATGTTGCATTGAGGGTTGGGTCTGATTTCCCTGATCCATTGAAATTGTAGAGGCGGTCCACAAAAGAAGAGCATTGAGCACGTCCAAATGTGTGTACACCTATATAAGAAGCAACCATCATTGTATCGAGATATATAAGAAGAAGAAAAGTTCGTATTGACTTCGTATATTAAATTAAATTTGTGACTTGGTGGTATTTTTCTTAGTAAAATTACCAGACAAAGCCACTAGATCAGTGGAATCAAGTCCCATGTTTTTGAATTTGGCTGTGATATTGTTAAGGCTCTCATGGGCAGATGGGATGGCTCCAATCGCTTCTCGGTGTGCGGTCCGACCGTCCCGTCTTCCAAGTGGGACTTCCCACGTTGGACCTCCAGCCTACAAGTGAAAATTCTCATTCTCATTGCAAGTAATAAAAAGCTAATAGAAGGTCAGACCAGGTGAAGATTATTGTAGAATCATGAACCAAACTCCATCTATGTGTAAATAAATGACTTGTACTTTTGAATAACTAAAGTACCAAAGAGACAGAAATTTGAGCAGCCAGGGCCAAAATATCAGCACAGGAGACAACGCGTGGGCAAGAAATTTCTAATGCTGTTTTGATATCATCGATAACAGAATATCCATCGGTTGACAGGTTGGGGGTTGCAGTTTTCTCACTATCAGTACCATTCAGCAGAAGCGAGGCATCGCAACCCTGCACGTAGTTTCATTGACAAAGACAGAGATTCTCATTAGTAAAGGAATCTTAATTAGAGCCAAATTAGATGTTTTATAATGCAGTTAGTCTTCAAGACACATGCAAAGGCACAAAAGCATTAATATTTCCAGGGGCAGACTGCTGAATAACCTCTGGCATGAAAGAAAGAGGAAAAGGAAAGACAGCAAATTACATGGACAAAACAATCGTGAAAGTGAAGGCGAACAAGCTTGGGAAAAATCCAAATGTCATTTTGCTGAGCATTCTGCAGTACACTACGTACAATACTCGACACATTTGGGCAAGTTTTAGCATAAAACGTGCCACTAAGTTGCGCATTGGATTCCGCAATCATCATAGCGGCAGAAAGGAGGAAAAGGGTTTGGAGGATTTTGAATGAAGACATAATGGTATTTCCCCAAACTTCTTTGATGGATATTGGAAGGAAATTGAGATACTAATGAGACATAGCAGATCCCTTATATAGAGGTAGCCTGTAGCTGGGCATGCAAGTTGACGCTCGAGCATATCTGACTTGCAATGTGAAAATGATGACTATGTATGATTCTCCCATCACTCCAATAATGCAAGTGCACACTTCCATACGTCTTTTAGAATTAAGAGCCAAATGAGGGATATAATTAAATAAATATTAACTAAATCCGTTTCAAATCTTGGACCGAATATTTTTAGACTATCTAATTGTGTTTTATAATTTGCCAACTACACATGGTTTCATAGCTAGGCGGATGGTTTTTATTGCAGAGCTTACTGATTCCTTCCTTGGATGCAAAGTTTTGGACAGTGACTACGCGAGCATCAGATATGCAAAATTAACTATGTACTAGTACAATAATTTCATGCAACATTTTAGGATAACAGCTAGTATCTAAATGAGTAGCACCGCTGGCAAAGTGTTTCCTTTGCTTGTATACATTGTTGATGACAAGTATTGAGAAGATAGAAACAATATATATATATATATATATTCTATACAAGTTTATGGCTGATAATCATATATATATAGTCAATTAATAATGATATGTGGCTGGATCAAGCAATAAGAAAATTGGACAGATGTGCAGCAAGAATCATTCTCTAAGCGGCAGATGTGGTGATATGAAGCTGACATTGAGAATTGGGAGAAACTACTTCGAGGCTTCCCTTTATCTTTGCTGGAAAAATAAACCAATTTTTGGCATCTTTTCTGGAAATATTGACTTCGTGGACTATAAGAAGTACTTGCTTTTGTCACCCACCCGTATGTGTGAACAAGGCAAGCCGCCTACATTCCTCACATGGCATTCGGTAAAAATTAAATAGAAAAAAAACACCTTCTTGTTTTTCCTTGTAAGTAATATATTTTTTTCATTTTGATAGCACCATGTGTATAATTATGTATTTATATAGCAATAAATAAATAATTTTATTGGGATCATAGTTTAGAAAATATTAGATCTGCAGGAGGTTCTTTTTTATTTTTTTGATCAAATTCATACTGGAATTGATTAATCACTTTTGTCAACATCTTTATGTCATTTTAGGGGCTAATCTACAGTGCGAGCAGTCCTAAAAATGCTTGTGGTATTTGGAAACAAATTTTAAAAAGCTTTAGAAATTCCAAAGCTTCCATACAGGAAAACTTTTTATTATATAATATATATTAATTGTGTATAGGAAAACAAGTATATTATTTCTACAGTGCATATAGATAGCATGGAAAAGTGTAAATTAATAAAATAATTAAAAAAATCATCTTTAATTAACATATAAGTTTTGATTCTTATTTTTACTGAATACAAGAAAAGAGGCACCGCCCAAGTATAAGGTATACGAAATTATATTTATATGTTTATTAAAAGTAAATTATAATAAAATTAGATGTTTCTATTTTCATTTGTTTACTTACAGTATCTTTTAAGAACTTTATAAACTAAACTTTATTAAATTGGATGACGACTGAACAAATTTAGTTAAGACAGAAATGATTTATATCCAAAAATATATTATTTGGTTTTGGTATAGTTTGTTTCATTGTGCTATCAAATATTTATATTAGTTGTAATGATGGTTTATCCATAACGAGCATTATAAATGTTGTTTAGGCTATTTACAAATTTGTTAAAATCAATGACTTGCTGTCAGATAATATGTTGGGCCTCTTCACTGTGTGGACACATGATACTTATACTCCAATGCATATTGCATTTCCAGTTCATAAATGGTTGTCAAAGGATGATATTTTAGGAAGTATCTTTGCAAAAGAAGGAAGAAATAACAATTGGGAAACTGCATATACAGTAGAGTGGCTAATTGAGAGTGTGGAGGCGTGGACTTAGCTTCTCCGTTTTTGAATTAGTTGACAGAGCAGAATAATTACTGAATACAATGGATTCCCATCATTTTTGCTTGAGCAAGAGAAATCTTGTGAAGAATATGTGAGCTTGCAGACAAAAGAGGGGACCATAGACAACTCGAAAGCACCTTCATCCATATCTCTTAACGCGGTTTTCCACTTCTGAATTCAAAGACTTAAGAAAAAAAATAGTGGGAATGGTCAGGCTTATAGAATAGTTATCTATTAATCTCTCTCCATCCTATTTTTTTTTTTATATATTTTATGTTCCAAAATCATGTGTATGTTTTTTAAAAAAAGAAACTTATATTCTAATACTTTTACTTGTATATATACGCACTTGTATCTTGTTATAATGATTTATTTTTATTTGTTTTAAACAATAGACGTAAATTTTTATTTTTGTTCCAGTTGCTGAAAGAGTTTATTTGTTTATTTACTTTTTTTTTCACATTAAAATTATGATTGGATTTAACAAAATTGAGACACTTATTATATACTTACCCTAAAAATAAAACTACTTTAATATAATACTGTTTTAAAAGGTTTCATTTTATAACACTTTTGTAAAATATACTATAGCATCTACGTAGCTTATAGTATTTCTGTATTAAAATTGTTTAAGAATAACATTTCTTACTATAGTTCCAATACATCATATAGACTTAGTGTATATTGGGATTTTTAATTTTGATACAAACCTAGACTACTTTGCTTTTTGGTTGCTAATAGCTTAACAAAAATTTTGGACCAATAAAATGTGCGATGCCTGTCACTGTCTCCTATAAAAGGATCAATGTCTATTACTCCATACCATATCGTTCTGAAAATGACCAAATTATAGCAAATTCCAGGCTGCTTTCAGTACGCAATAATTGGATAAAAGTTTCAACAAAGTTATGAAAATACTATGCCAAAGAAAAGGATAGTTCTCAATAATGAATATGCCCAAAGTTATGGAGTTGCTGTGTGAGCCGATCCATGTTCGTAGTTTGCCTTGAGATTAAAAATTGCTTGGTTCACTGAGCAAAACAGAACAAAGTTGTCAAGAGTTTTATATGTATTGAAAATTTACATGTGAGTTATTTTGCTGATATATACACTGGTAGGAACGAGATGTAAAAGGTCATATATGCATGCACGGAGGACCAAATGACTCCTTAGCTTAAAATTTGGATCCACGTGTTGATGTGAGTGCACGCCTTTCCTTTTTTGACACTTTTTATAATGTGAATTTGCTGTAGGCCAATGCACGTGAAGGGGGTTCATATTGTAGATGCACCAGCACCAAGGCTTGGGAGGTCAAATAAGATGGCTCAAATAGAATTTGAAAACATTATCTTTGGAATTATAATTTACTAGAAAAAGACCCGTGCATTGTTTACCTGAATGTTATGTTGAAGTAATTGTTTACCAATGTTAACAGCAGCATTATTTTTGTTCTAGCACAGGTAGACATAATAGCCTTGTGGTCTGCTATAATTGAAAAAAAAAATTATCTGTTCATGTTAGTTAATTCCTATGCATTGACAGCCTTAAATACTATGTGATAGTAATAGGATGAAGTTGCAATTACCATAAATTTATAATTTAAATTGCAAATGCTGTTAAAAAGGATAAAAAGTCACAAAAATAAGAAGTTGGTTAATTAATATAAGTCTAATGGAAAATTCCCAACTAGATATTAAATTTTCAAATCAGAGCAATCATGCAACAACAAGGATATTCAAATTTGAATAACAGCATCGAATATCCAGGCCTATGCCAATTTTATAATGAAGGGTAATAGCAACTACTAATGGAGTCGCTGGAGGGGCTTTTGATACAGATGTTGTGCTAGTAGTTTGGAGTGGAAAAGAACAACTTTCTATTTCATTACTATCAAACATCTACTAATTGGCAAGGTTTGCTTTGACAGCTTTAGAGGTAAGACCTATAATGAATGTCCTTGTCTGTTATAGCAAAGCTTTTACAGGCCTTGGAAGACTACTTCGATTGATAATTTGGAGGGCAGTAAGTTTGGTAATTGTTTTTCCTATTAACTTCTTTGCTAGTTTTCCAAATGCCACTAATTCCATTTGCCCAATGAGATCCTTCACAGTGAATTGTATAGAATATCTAAAAAAATAACTTATTATTAGAAATGAAAGTTTAGCGACTAATGGAATCCCAATTCTAATTGACTATGTAACATGTAATGAAGCAAAAGCAAGGCAAACTAAAAAAATATAAAATGAGGACATAAAAACAGGAAATAGTAACAGGAAAGACATATTACAAATAATTGCAGCAATTCATTTAATATCATTTAGAAAATTTACAATAGATGAGGTAAGAAGTTGTAGGAGACATGTATGTAAGCTATACAAAATCGAAAACAATTCAAACAAACAAATGACCTCAAAAGCCAGTCATATACCACATTATCAGGTCAAACTTGAAGGCAAACAACCAAAAAGTAACAAAACAGTATAAAGAAATGTGAAGTTTTATGCAAAGTCTAATACATATATATATACAATATGAAAGCAAGATTTTGTAAAATGAACAAGTTATGATTTACTTACGTCAACATCGATGTTTTCTTTTCATGTTGTACACACTAGTATTTTCTAGCTTAGAAATGCAAGCTTGCTCCATATTCATTGCAGGAGTTGTAGAACCATTCATTGGTGGAGCCAACATTAGTTATTGTGGTTGTAAGTTTGAACCTACTGTGCTGGTTGGATTATATATTGTTAGTATTATTCTATTAGATAAATTTTTGAAAAATTTGATTAATAATTTGTGTTTCTAACATGCTCTTTAGCTGGATCAACTATAATAATTTTCATAATGGTTGACTCTTTGGACCCAATGATAGCTGCAGCTAGTTGGTGCATATCCTTTTACATACCGATGATTTGTACATTGAATGGGTTTTTTTCATATGTCTAATATGTATCATAGTCATGTGTTGTTGTTTGTTTATATAGTGTAGAGTGCTTTAAACATACTTGTTACCTTTGTTTGAATGTGGTTGTTTCTAGTATGTTCAGGTCAATATAAACTTTGGTGGCTGAGCAAGATGTAAGGTAAAGAGTACCTA